CCCGACGCCGATATCGCTTCTGTCCTTACACTCCCCGATCGGGGATGGTCAAGGGACAACCGGCGACAAATGATTTTTGCTGCCCCATTTAAACACGGAAGCCGGACTTTGGTTTCAATTTTTAAGACACAATTTAATTCCTACTGGGCATGATAGTACTGTTTCGAGGGACCGATGCATCCTTTTCTATTGCATTATGAGTGAGTTGTCGATCGACCTTGGGCCGATCATCCATGCATCCATTTTGGCCRCCTCACAGCGGACGAATTGTCGCCTGGTCTGTCCGGCCCTCATCACCAAGCTCTTGGCTAAGGCTAAGGTCCCTACCTTTGACGATGATACTATTGTTGTCGGATCTCCCTTGTTGGGACAGAACACACTAGACCGACGGAATAGAGCATCTCGGCCCCATTTTTATATGCAGAATGAAGAACCTGCCTCGATTGTTGCGGACGAGCCTGTGGTACCATCAACTGTTCCACCAACTACGCCACAGGTTGTTGCTGTCACCGAGCCATCCACCGCTGCTGTCACCACACCACCGATTGTCATTACCGAACCACCAGTCGCTGTTGTTTCTGTGCCACCCGCTGCTGTCACCATGCAACCTGCCGAGCATGTTTCTGCCTCACCTGCTGTCCCTATGGCCGAACCGACTGCTGAACTCCCACGATGCGGAGTTGATACGGCCAGCCCCTCCGATCCACCGCTAAGCAACCCTTTAGGCTCGGGGTACGCGTCAGCGACTTGGCTATCTGTTTTGGCACTACAGTGGGAGGAAACGAATCTGAAGTTGACGGAGATCTTGAAGAAGGTTGGCAGCCTTGATGACCGCGTCTCCGATCTCGAAAAGAAGAGTGCACGATATTGGGCTTACACTAGAGACTGGAATCGGGTGGAACGACAACTCTATGGGCGTCAAGATACTCTCTTGACAGCCCAACTTCCCCGATTCCCGAGCGGTCTTTGCCCGCCTCAGGTCCCGTGCTTCCCACCTTTGCAAGCCCATGTGCCGACGTCTGTTGTTGCTGCGCCCTTTGCTCCGGTTGCCCACATTCCTGCTGTTGCTCCATTACCTATCACCACTGCCATTGTTCCTGCCGTTGCTGTTTCGGTTACTGCTCCCATTGTCCAAAGCTCCGAGGCGCCAGGTGCATCCACTGTTTGCCCACAGTGAGCAGTTTCGCAGATATGGTTAAATTCTCAACTTTTGATCCCACCTCTTTAAACATTATTTTTGGATATAACTCTTGGGTACAGATACATTTTCATTCCGTCTTTTGTGTATGCTTTGCGGAATGCTATTTTCTTTTGTGTGATTATTTATGATATGGGTGTTGGATTTCATTTTGTTTTGTCTAGTTCCATTATTCATTTCAGGTACAAGCTCCTTGAATGATTTTTCGTAGTGCTAAAGTTAAAAGGATGTAGGCCCTCCTTTTGTTTTTAAACCCAAACATTTTTCCCCTTGCACCCAACCCGTAACCTTTTGGTCCCTTTGGCAACAATGGGGACATTGTTATTATCAAGTTTGGGGGGGATGTGTTCAAAAAGAAAGAAATATATACCTTCGAAAAATTGGGACGTATGAAAAAAAATAGAAAAAAAGAGAAGAAAAAAAAAATTAATCGGTCTTCGGAAAATTGGAAGACGAAAATAAAAAGCCGGGTACTCAAAAGGGCAAGATTATGCCAAGATATGGGTCACAAACTTTTTCCTTGTACTCAAAAGTGAATCGATGAGAACTTTTGTTTCAAACCCTTTTGTAGTATAGGATAAGTTTGGGGGAGGGATACACACCATCATTGCCAAAAACACTAACCCAAAAGCCCTACTGATGAACGGCAACACTACGAAGATCAAGCAAGGAAATTATACATCCTCTTTACTAGACGAATTTCTAACACCTTCCGTAAGTGTTTCGTTCTTGTTCCTTTCTTTAGGTGTCTTTTTAATTATTTTCTTTTTTACTTGAGGACAAGTAATACCTTAAGTTTGGGGGTGTGATAACTCTCATTTTGTTAGAGTTATTTGTTGTTCTATACCCCTATTTTATTATATCTTTGGTACCCATTTTGCTCATATTCTATATTTTTGGTCCAAAATATGTTAAGAGGTGATGAAAGGTTAAGAATTTAATTATTGTCTAAAAAACTCTTTATTGTTGGTAAATTTGGCATCWAGTTGGATTTGAACAAAATTATGATATTCATATTCTTGGATATTATTGGAAGTTAATGCTAAGTTCAAATCTAATTACTTGGTTGCATGGAAGATTGAACCTAGTTATGGGATGATGAGACTTTGATGAGTTCATTTTGTACCATGATGTAATGGCTTTTCCATCACATTTATTGGTTGTACCTTCACCTTTTGCAACCAATCAAAAGGAGGTGACTTGATCAAGATTGAAGAAGACATGTGGTGATGGGTGGTCATTACCCATTGGACAAAGAGTTTGGGTCCCACCTTTCCCCCTATATATTTGAGGCATCTCCAATCCATCTTAACACCAACTTTTCCACCAGCACCTTGGAGCATMTTCTTTAAAGCTTTGTAGCATTAGAACTAGTTTATATACAGTTTGTAATTTAAATTTCGTAATTTAGCTGTTATTCTCGCCACTGCATTGTGTGCCCTCTGTGGGCACCAGTAAGTATTTAATTTCAGTTCAAGTATTTCTTATGCAGCTTTCTTCTTCTATTTCTGTTATGTTTTCTAATTTCATTATGAGCTAAGCACCCCCTTGGGTGTGGGTGTGAGTCAAGCTTAAGGATTTAAGGGCACCCCCTTGGGTGTGGGTGTGAGTCAAGCTTAAGGATTTAAGGGCACACGTGGGTGTTGCCATTTTTATTGATTCTTAAGCTTGGTCATTTTAGTCGGGACGTAAACTCAACGCGGATAAGCCGATCACTTTGAAGTGTTAATATTAGATCCTTGATCCAGAGATGGGCGGATCTGAAATACGGCTTAGATGATGCACAAAG